AAAACAGCTCAAGTGACTGGACGTACAAAAGCAGTCAGATTTTATAAGGATGCTAACGGTCCTCTTTTTTTAAGAGTTGCTTAGAAGTAAACTGATGTCCGTTTACCTTCCCTTGATACTGCCATACTAGAACGCTCTGTTCTTAGATTTTGCTTCCAGAACCGGACAGTACTGAGCAAATTCATCTTCCCTGATGATTCAGAAATTAAACGTCTAGTGGGCAGTTTATTCTCACAAAAACCTCTTCCTAATAATTATATATAATGGCTGTTTGTATCACTTGTTAATTTACTCTCTTCCCTTTCTCCCTCACTCTTTTGCTCATTCACTTATAACTCTCTTTCTTTCTCTTCTCCATCCTGCAAATTAGTTACACGACTGTTCATAACATGGCAGATGGGAGGCTGTATTGACGATTTCCACTCCTACCCGCATGCATAGTTCGGTCTGTGTATACAGCTAAGGGATGAAACACAGACTTCCGAGATAGTAAAATGTTCTTCGGCACATGACACTTAAGACCAATCCTTCCATTCTACTATACCCTTATTTGAACAAGCACCACTTAACACCGGAACAAATGATGAATCATGGAGTTTAGTTGTTTTACTGGCCATTAGTGCAAAAGCTGCGCTGTTTATCACTATGCTATGCCTGTTATGCATCGAAATTTCGTTTGGACGCTAACAAATTCAAAAATTTACAAGCACAATAATAATTAAAAAAATAGCGAAGCGGCCCAGGGTAGCTGGTGCGACCATGCGTTTTGCGCAGTTCCGTCCAGTGGACGTTTGCTTACTAAAAATATAACTGTTTTATACTTTAGTATATGGAAAAATAGTAGATATGCTGTCTGGCTCTTAAAGTGAGGGACTTTCCACTTAAAATCTCACGTGCCGGTACGAGAAAGCTGAATTTGAAAACATGGATGGGAAAAAACCTTCCAAATTTCAACCTTCTAGTTTTCCGGCTTCCGAGCTAGTGACTTTCACACCAAAATCCTTACGTGGTCTTACGTAAGACCTCTGCGTACTTGGGAGCTAAATTTGAGTTTGTGAAATACCTGCAGCGGCAGAAAATATCGTCCTAGTTTCATGACCCCCGGGATAATTTTCCGCCAAAACTTTCACGAAGCCGTACGCGATACCCAAGCTCACAGGAGAACTGAATTTAAATTTTCTGGGTTGCACTTGGTCAAGGGGCATACCCATAAAATTTCAGCTCCCTAGCCTTCGCTGTTCCTGAGATAATGACTTTACCCGTCAAAACTTTTACGGGGCCATACGTGTTACCCGCGGGTACAGGAACGCTAAATTTAAATTTGCCGTGTCACACGTTGGCGGGGAACACTATACTAAAATTTCAGCAGCCTAGCTTTTGTGGTTCCCGAGTTGAAAGTGCGGGACAAAATGTGGGACACACACACACATATATATACATACATATATATGTATATATATGTATGTGTATACGTACATATATATATATGTGTATATACACTTATATATATATGCATATATATATGTATATACAGACAACCCGTGGCAATATGCATTTTGTACTGCTGTTACTCAGCACAGAACGGATAAAAAACAGAATTCAAAAATGCATTTAACCTGGTGAATGCGAGTCTATTTTCTTCACAAAGTTTCACTTGATGAATCAGATCTTTCTCCATTGTTGCATACACTTCAGCTGGAGAACCTTAAAAATCTTCTGTTAAATTTCACTCAGAATCGAAGCAAAAATTGACTACTATATAATTCTTGCAAAGTCTCACCTTCAATAGCAGCATCGAAGCTCGTATGCTGTGATAATGATGGTTTCATTGTCTTCAATGATGTTTGCGTTTGAGGTGGGATAGGAGTTTTTTCGATATTGACCGGTAGACCAGCTTTTGAAGCCACAATCATTTTATCAAATCCCTGAAATCCAGGAAATCGTAATTAGGCCTACTCAAGGGCTAATTTTAACCCAAAAGACAGGTGAGCTTCATCTTCAGCAACCTAAAATCTCACAGCCTTGAACAGGACCAGTTTAGGCCTCATCATGAACAGCAAATCGCCATTTTACGTCTTTTTCGTAATTCCAGAGCAAACCTATCTGATAGAAGAGCATATCGAAGAGGAAATTTCGAAATAAAAATTAAGAAATTAGTAACACCAGTGAAATTATTTAAACAAAACCACTGTAATAAAATTATTATAATTAATAATAATAACAATAATAAGAATAATGATAATGATAATAATAATAGTAATGATAACAATAATGATAATAATAATAGCAATGATAATAATAATAATGATAATAATAATGATAATGATAATAATAATAATAATAATAATGCCATTTTATGCCTTTCCCGCATTTTCTAAACATTCCGTTTTCACATGACCTAATCTTTGCATCACATACCATACAGCCAGGTATATTCACTAATACAATATGGAGATATTTTACATACTATACCTTTTAATTTTACATTTACTAGCATGCACTTTCACTAGTTTTCACATAACTAATTTTGACATAATTAATTAAATAATTAATTAAAATTAAATTTACGCCAATTACCACAATCGTCGTACTGGTGAGGTCCAACTGTGGTAATGGTAAGAAATGTATACGACTTAATGGAC